TCGGCGGCGCGCACACAGGGCGAGGGGTGTGGGAATCTAATTCTTAGCACGAGGGAACCACCAGCCCAGGCGGCTTGTACGGCTTATCTATTGCGGATCACGTCGTTTGGGCGCGCGCCCACGAGCGCTGAAGAAAAGTCACGATGCGGAAATTTGACTCATCTGCGACAAGTCTCGCTTTTTTTTTTTTTTTTTTTTTTTCTCGCGCTTAACGCGCAGTGGAGTTACTGGCGAGAATAACCGAGACACACGACGGAGAATCAATGACGAGAGTCGTCTCGAAGACTACGCCCAGACTATATGTCGTCTGAGAAGTTGAGGGTGTCGTGAAAGTGCTGATGACCACAAAGACGTGGGTTGATGTTGCGGTGAAGCAAGCGCGAAATTGGCTGATCGACGATACTATGTATGCGTGAAGGGTCTTATTGCCTTGGGTGTGTCTGTCGATGGATACGCCTGCGGGCTGTCTTTCCTTCGTTGCTCCCCAGAACAGAAGAGGGAAAAATCATGGCATACATTTGTGTGCACTTAGTGGTCGGGATCCGGTACCGCTCCAACACTCTTATCTCGAAGGAGGAGGGGCTAAATGTAATTTGACAGAGCGGCGGCCCCCACACCACCGGCGGGCCCCCGGACGTGGCGTTGAGCTGCGAATAGTGTACTATGCAAAACGTGGACTCGGGATAGTGTTCCATGGCGTCGAAAAAGACGGACTAGAATCTTGGGCTTCAAATGAGCTGTTCGAGCGACTGCCTGGCTCGGTCCTCGGGATGACAGAGGTGGAGAGCAGCAGCAGACAAGGAGACAGATACACGCGCAAAGTCGGCTTGAACTTGGGCTGCAACATGACAGCTCAAGGTGGTGGACGTTGATACCGTTTAGTTGGAGAAGGTACATATCTTTGGCGGCCGTGTTGGCTGTGGAGGAGGAGAGCAACCCCCCACCCCGCGGGGTTGCTGTCCCGACCTCATCTCATCGTGAGCTGAGCACTTCGGATCGCGGCGCCGTATCAGCTTGCGCGACGGGTGCTGTGTGCTGTGATACGGCCGGCATAAAGATAGCCCTCTGCTCGCCTGGGAGCCAACCGCATGCTCCGTCGAGGATGTACAAGGGGACCCGCGGCTGGGCAGAGGCAATGGAGGACGGCATAGAATCAAGCTTACTGGGCTCGTTCGATATGCGCTTCGCCTTGCCCAGCCATCCACGCGTGTACGATCCAGGAGTGTCATGGCCATGGCATGGCCTGCTGGTGAGAGGGCGGGCGGCAACTGGCATGGACGATCCCAGAGAGACGAACAGAAGCTGTCGTATGCTTGCTTGCCTGGTGTTTGCCCTCAGCTGATGCTCATGAGATGGGAGCATGATTGATTGGGTTCCCCACGGAGAATGATCAATGTCTCCCCCAGGTTTCCTTTTGTCAATAAATGCAGGCTCCCGCGGGTCAAGGTTCTGCCCCTCATTCCCACGGGGTAAATCTGGACGATCACAAAAATGAGGAGAGGTCCAGACTAAATTGTGCCATATGGGCAAAACCAAGCAGACGGCGGCATTGCGTGACGAGGGGTCCAACTTTTTTTTTTTTGTGCTCTTCCCCCAAATGGTGTCTGGCACTGTCTGATTCTGGTTCTTTTCTTTTCGATAGCTAACCGTCTTGCGTCCTTCTCACTTTCAAGCTCCCCGAATAGCTTCCCCCATGGCTCGGCGCACCAATCAGAGCGGCGGACGGTGGCACAAGTTCGGGGTTGTTGCGACTAAGCCACCACCTCTGTCGCCTCACCGCCCCGCGCCCGCCCGCACAATCGCGCAGAGTCAGGCTTCACTGTTCAGGATCCCGGTCGCGATAGTTTGTACCGTCAGGGCCAGGCTGGCGGGGTGCTAATCTCGGCGAGCCTGGGGAAAGGAAAGCGGGATGGGGATGTGAGCTGTGGAGGCGAGGGCAAAAACAAAAAAAGCCTCGTTCCTATCAGAATAAAGTGCCCACGTTGCACAAGGCCTTGTCTGCACTATGTATCCTTACTTGGAGCCTCACGCATGAGGGAGGCACGTGTCGGTAGTAGACCGAGATGTGGCTCGAGAGGGAAATTTGAGTATGGGGACTATGGTGAGAGAGGCATCGTCAAGCGGGAATAGCGGCGGCGATACGATACGGATACGTTGTTTGTGGATAGGCAATACTGCGAATGAGGCCGAGGATGGACCACCGACAGGCTAAGGCGAGGCAGGCATTCCCACCCCATCAGTCCATCAGATTAGTAGCCTAACTAAAGGCTTTTTTCTCTCTTCATCATCGCCTCCATCCATCGCCTTCCAGGTTCTCATTAAGCCGGGACGGGGACAGAAAAACATGAAGAGGATAAGGATCCCCCTAGCTCCCTACACTAGACGTTGAGCACGGAGATGTGTGTGGGATGGGCGGAATAAGGGAATTGTAGTATGGAAGGCAGTTACTGTGTGTCCGTAGTGCAAGGTGTAATGTAATAGTGGACGTCTGGAGAAGACTCGGAGACTGGAGACTGGAGACTGAAGGATGCACACAGGCCTCTTTCTGTCTCTCTGGTGGATGGATGCTGCTGGTTCGGACGGCGGTATTCTGGAGTCTGGACCAGCACATCATGTAATGCCTCCATCGCCTTTTGTCTCGCCGGGGCGGGTTTGCGCCGTTGATTCGGTGAGACTGCCAAACCCCCTTCCGCCCCAAGGCGAGTGACTCGGACATTGGCAGAGCAAGATACGATACGATATGATACGATTGGTGACGCGCTGCCGTGCTGCTCTGGCTTGGGTATGGATGCATTCTGTATGGGTTCGAGTACGGAGGAGACACACTCTGACAAAGAAGGGATCCCGTTGCATAAGAGTTACAGGCAGCACAAGCAAGGAAAACGGACGATTAGCACATCACGACGGTAGAGGAAGGGGAAAAAAAAAAAAAAAAAAAAAAAAAAAAAAAAAAGCAGGGCGGTATCTACGGTACGGCATTGAGGTGCTTTCGCTGGTGGTGCGCTGGTGCGCCTCAGGTACCTTTCCCTGCCTGAGGGGCCTTACGTGGTGCATCGGCCCGGTACGTACCTGGGATAGCGGCTGCCCTGGCTGGGCTCTGCTGTCCAAGTCAGGAAAGAAAAAAAAAAAGATACGTACATGGGTGGTGGTGTCCCTCCGGGAGAGTAGCAGAGCACGTCCTCTTGGCTTTCTGGGAGTGGGGAGCACAGGGTGGGGTCCCCAGTGGAGGTAAACTCCAGAATGTTGACGGGATTCACACGCCCCCCCCGTTTCTCCGAGGCACACCCCACCCATCCTTTTCCCCTTCACCCGCTCCAGCAAGACTCTGAGGTGCTGCACTGTCTGTTGTGTGTCCAGAGTCAGTCAGTCAGTGAGTTGCAGCAGCAGCAAGGTCAGTGTCTACCTATCTGTCAGTCAGTTTCTCCGTAGTGATCTCTCACAGGCTGGTGCTGCCGCCCCTCCTAAAGCAACAATCCCTACCAGCTGCTGTGACTTGTCTGCCGCTGCTCCAAACGGAGAGGATGCCGTCCACCTTGCTCACTGGTCGCGGGATGTCTGTCTCTGGTCTGCCCAGCGGCCCCCAGTCTCAGCCCTGGTCTTGTCTCTGGCGGCGGCTGGAGTGTCTGTCTGCTGTCTGTCTGGTCTGATTGCCTGCCCGGCCTGTGATGGCTGTTTGGCTGTGCCTGCTGGTGCTGACGGCGACGACGAAGAAAAAGATATGGATGGCATGGAAAGCAAGGCAAGGTGCTCCGTATGGCGGGTTTGACGCTGGAAATGGGCCATGGGGGAGCATCCATGGGGGTCCCGCATTCGCACCCGCACCGTCACAGTCTCTCCCAAGTACCCTCCACGCTCCATGTACCTTTTCGCGAGTATTCCCGTCCCACGACGACGACGCCCTTAGGTAACCAGCTTTGGGGGAGCGTCAGAGGTGCCCCAGAAGGCCCCAGAAGCACCACAACCGGGAAGGGGAGGAAGAAAAAAAAAAAAAAAAAAAAAAAAAAGAGACGAAGCTGGGGGCAGGGCGAGCATGGCGCGGAAAGCACAAGCCAGCACTCAGCACTTTCACTTCCCTTCAGCACAAGCACTCGACACCAGCACCAGCACCAGCACCAGCACCAGCACTCAGCATTCGTACCTGCCTCCTGCCTTCCTTGCCTAAGGTAGACAGGTACCTACCGTCCCGGCTACCCAGCACCCCAGTACCCCAGCACCCAGTCGTCCAGAGAAGGAGAAACCGTCCACCCCCCTTCCCTGGCCCTTCCTTTTCCCCTTCCCTTCTCTTCCCTGCCCTCTTCCCATCCCCATCTGCCTTCTCCCCCCTCCCCCCCTACCACCTGCCGCTGCTTGTCTACCGCAGTACCTGCCGCAAGTACCTTACCATTCTTCCCCTTCCACACCGTCCACACATCCACACCCTCCCACCCCCGTCCTCTTTTTTTCTTCCTTATCCCACCTCTTGTCAATCCTGTCTGTACCTACGCTCTTTCTCACATTCTCTTCCATTTAAAACTACCGCCCCGTCCTTTCCTCCCTCCCTCTGCCTCTGTTTCTTCTTTTGGAAAAAATTGTTACACCTCCTGTCAACCGTCACCGACGACAAACTGCCCCCAGGACAACCCCATACTGTCCCCAAACGCCAAAGCTCCCAACGTCAACCATAAGGTACATACACCACACCACACCCTCCGCACCCAACTCCGACTCGCCCCGACTATTATATATCGCCCACCTCACCCACCACACGCGCCCGACCTTCTGCGCAACCCACTCTCCACACAACCACTCAATATTCACCAACTCGGAAACGATTCCTTGTAACATCGACTTGGTTCTGCATAGCCAAAGTCGATTGCCGGAAGGAAGAACAGAAAGAAAAAGGGTCGAATAGTTCCCAAGCCCAGCACTGCATATCTGGGCCAATGGGCGATCACATGCAACAGACACAACCGTCTCCTTTCAACTTTTCAAATTTACTCAATCCCGATAAGAACGACAACATGATTTCGGGCGACGCCATGGAAACAACTCGTCTCGGTCAGCTCAACGAGCTGAAGCCAAAGGGTCCTCTCCCCGGCCAGACCGCGGAGAACCCCAACGAGCTGCCTCGTCCCTACAAGTGCCCCTTGTGCGACAAGGCCTTCCACCGCCTCGAGCACCAGACGAGACACATCCGCACTCACACTGGCGAGAAGCCTCATGCTTGCCAGTACCCTGGCTGCAGCAAGAAATTCTCCCGCTCTGACGAACTCACTCGTCACTCAAGGATACACAGCAACCCCAACTCGAGGAGAGGCAAGAACCAGTACAACTCGGGTCCCCAGTCACACATGCCTCAGGATGGAATGATGGCTCCTCCCCCAGCTCCCAAGACGATCAGATCTGCGCCCACCTCGAGCCTCTCTTCGCCCAATGTCTCTCCTCCTCATTCCTACTCTACTCAATATGTCCTGCCTACCCACCTGGGCAGCCCCTTCAACCGCCAACCTCAGGGCAACAACAACATGGACATCTCCATCCTGGCCAAGGCCGCCAACCAGGTCGAGCGCGAGACTCTCACAGCACCTCCTTTCCACGGCCCTGCCGCCAGACACCATCCATACTACTCTCACAGCCTACACAACTCGCGAGGCCACCTCCCTTCCCTCTCTGCTTACCACATGTCGAGATCTCACTCCAACGATGAGCACAACGACGACCACTACTCTGGCTCTCGTCACGCAAAGCGATCTCGTCCCAACTCTCCCAACTCCACGGCTCCTTCCTCTCCCACCTTCTCTCACGACTCCTTGTCTCCCACTCCGGACCACACTCCCATCGCTACTCCTGCTCACTCTCCGAGGCTTCGACCCATGGGCTACGAGCTGCCTTCTCTGCGCAACCTCTCCCTCCAGCACGCCGCTCCCCCGGCTCTGGCTCCCCTCGAGCCTCACTTGGAGGCTCCTTACCTGCCTCCTGCCCCTGCGCCTACGAGCGCCGGCACCCCTCGCCCCACCGGCGCTTCTCTGGCGGACATCATCAGCCGGCCCGACGCTGTGAGGAAACTGCCTGTCCCCAAGATCGGTGTTCACCAACTCCTCGACGGCAACGATGGATTCCAGAGCGGAAGGAGTTCCACCACCGGCAGCGTTGCTGGTGGAGATCTCATGGACCGGATGTAACGGAAACGGCTTTCGGCAAAGTGGCATGACTTGACGACCTGGGATATAGAAGGGATAGAACTACGGCGTTTTGGGAATTTTCGAATTGGAAAGGTGGCCAACCTCGACTTCTCTACTTAATCACGAAATCAACTACCTCACATTCTCCAACCAAAGAAGCGACGGTCTCGCCTTTCACGGCGGCGGCTGCATTCCAAACTCATAGAACTCCTCTGCTCGACGGATTTGCAACCAGAGATTGGATTCACGACTCCTCTCCCCCCAACCATCACAACGAAAAGCAAAGTTTATTATGTGCCTACACTGTCTTTTATTTTTCTTCTGGCTCTTTTGGATTGAGAAGGGGTAGGATCCTCTTGTATGTGTGTGTATATGAGTGGGCGGCGAACCCGCCCACTTAAATGTGTCACGGTCTGTTTGTATGTGAGGGCGCGCGATGGGATTTTTACAAAGAGATATCAACCTATAGACGGCGGGGAACCGGTGTACATGGGCTCAAGAAAAGAGCTTCCACGGACGGGCGGGCCAGCGCATCAGCGCTGTTGGGTGTTTTTTCCTCAGAAGAGAGTCGCCGCCCGCATAGAGGCGTGCCTGACCAAGTACGTTATTTCTTATCAACCGAAACTGTTAGAGAAGTTTCCTCGAAACTCGAGAGAAATCAAGAGAACCCGATGATCCACTTCACTGGCATTTCCATGACACCCTCCATCTCGACTTGGCTGTGAACGTGACCTATTCTTTATCAATCTCAAATCTCCCTCGTGGTCATAGTGTGTGAGTGAGTTGAGGTGCACAAGTCGGGGTGTGACAGACCCCAATCCACCCACCCACCCCACACATCTCACTCACACTCTCTCCCACACGGTGGTAGTCACAACTCGACCGATGATCGGACCTTGCTTGGCTGGGTGGGCAGAGGCGGCGGCAGCCCGTTTGTTTGGGGGGAGCCAGGCACCTCTAGAGGAAGAGAGAGAAAAAAAAAAAGATGGAGGGAGGACGGGCGCGGTTTTCCCACCCCCACACACCTGAAGCCGCACGTAATCTGCGCAGTTTGCATCCGGGCCTTTTTTTTTTTTTTTTTTTTTTTTTTCTTTTTTTTTTTTCCCTGCTGTGAGCCCCCGTTTGAGGAGGAGGTCGGAGTGCCGTCGTTGGGAAACGGTGTTAGCCCGCGGCTCGGTTCACGGCGCGGCGGCGGGAGGTAGGCAAGGTAGCACGCCTTTTCGCATTATTGTGTAATTGTTTTCCTTTAGCTGGGCCACCCGCGCGCTCTCGCTCGCTCTATCTGTTGAAACCTTTTTTTCTTGGATTTCTACCGAGTTATTCTACCGAAATATCCACGACCTCTCAATGTACGCACGCAACACAAGAGAAGGCTACTGGAAGGCGGCGCACACAAGGCAACCTGTGCTATCAGAATACAACAATGCGCAAATGAAAAAAAAAATTCTTCAAACGATCATCAGCAGTGACATATTACTCGTCAGATGGCGGCGCAGGCGCGCATGAGGCAGGCAGAGACGCAAAGGCAGGCAGGCATGGTGACAACGCAGCAGGGCACAGCAGTGGTTCTGCTGCTGGCCCCCCTGGCTCCATTCAGAGAGAGAGAGAGAGAGAGAGAGAGTCAGCTCCAGCGCTCCCATCTCGTCATGAATTCCTTGGAGTTTGCGCGCACATCTTGGCCGGGCCCCCTTTTTTGGTCCCTATCTCTGCACTTGGTCGCTCTTGGCCCTATCTTTTTTTGGGCTGGGGGATAGACACTGGGGGGGCATGGGGTGGCTGTATATGGGATGGATATCTATGGGGTAAAGTAGACATACGGGAGGCAGATACTGCAGAAATCTTTCTTCCAGCACCCCTTGCACAGGAAACGATGCGTTATCGTCTGCCTCATATTGCGTGCCGTCATGTCCTCTCCTCCTCCGCCGCCGCCGCCGCCCCTCCTGCGATAAAGACAATCGTTTTGCCTGCCGCTGCCGCTGCCGGTGGGTTGGGTTGCGCGGTTGTACGGGAACATTAGTCAAGCAGCTTGACCGTTTACCCCGGAAATTCTAAACCACCACCCACCCCTCCCCCTCCCCGTCCGTTCCTCTCCCGCCCCTCAGAGCTACGTAAACGGGCCACTCGATCGTGCCATCTGCGACCTCCAGAAACCTGGCAGAACACAGCTTGGTTTTTTTTCGCCAATGGCATGATTAGGGAATGGGTGTGGGTGGTGATGTGCAAAGGCCTCGAGTCAGTCAACTCTTGTCTTGTTGTCTTTTTCCCCGGCCTGCGAGAGAATAAAGGTCTGGAACGACGGCATTACGTATTTCTCTGGGGGATGATATCACAATCTGCCCCACCGTCCCTGGCATGAGCAGCGGTTTCTGACACCTGTTGCAACCTTTTTTTGTTTTTCCCCTACGCGTGGGGAAGAGACGAGAAAGGGATCACAGAAAAAATTGTTGACAAACCCCATAGGATCTTCGTAAGGGACCACCGGCCCAGCCCAGCCTTAGGACTTCTTATTTAGGGGTTCCCCTGAGCTTTTGCCTTGGTTCTTTGCCATCGGATCTTTACGGCTACACCAGCTTGGGCCAAGAAAAGCATGCTACCGGAGCCAGCGGATGGCTACGTATGCTGTCTTCCACAGCCCGGGGCCAAGGAGGTGATGACGGTTGGATTCCCCAGTTTTGGGACATGTAAGTCGTCCATGATGACTCAAAGTGGCCGCTGTCACCGAAAAAGCTTTTCCCCGTACTTTTGTTGGCGGGGAAATCTCCTGGGGATCGGGCTACTCCTTTGGCTTACCTGGAGAGGATGGAGGGCTTGCTCGGTATTTTGTGTGGCTTGCTGCTGTTGGGTTGGTTCAGGAACGCGACGCCAAGGTCTCTCTCTCTTCTCGACGACTCACTCTCACGTAGCGGTACCTGCCCTTTGGAGTGAGCCCAGCCAGCCACCTGGTGGCCCCATCATGACTATTCGTGCGTTGTCTCTGTCGTCTCTCATCCCTCGCGCCCGACTTCTCCGGATTTTTCGGCTCCAAGGTTTTGGGCTGAGTCGTTGAATGCCAGCAGCCTTTTGTTGGATTCACAAGTGAATCAGGGCACATGTCGCGCATACCCCGTCTCCCTCTCTCTTGCCCTTGCGGCGGCGGCGACGGCGCGCGCGAACCACGTCGCATGCTTTGGCTTGGGCAGGACCGCTGGTGAGGCTGCATTTACGAAGGCTCGTCACATGTGAGAGTGCCAGTAGTGGCTTGCTCATCGGGTGCGGACATACCAGCCCACCAGCTTTTGCGAGGAAGGGGAACTGTTTTACCACAGCTGATGCCGTATAGGAAGATCTACAAGCCTGGTTTCGGACGCGGTGCAACGCTGGCGTCCGCTCGCCGTAAAGCATCCTCTTGTTTGGCGCCTGCCCGAGAGTTTACACCGAGCAACATGCGAGCCAGAGACGTGCTGATGACGGCGGCAATAGCGGGAGCATCTCTTCCGTCCGTTGCTAGCATCTGCGCGAAGAGTCGCTAGTATTTCAGGCAATGGCTTCGGCATCTAGTAGCATCTCCGAAATGGCTGCCTCAGCTCAGCAAAGACAAGCGCAGCCATCGCTTGGATGTTTCTCTCAACGAACTGAACACTACCGCGTGTAGAGGTTGCTTGCTTACGTGCTTGTAGAATCTCCTTCACCGCCAGACGCGACGTGTCGAGTTGGGTGCACACTTGACGCGCGAGAGGGTGTGGTAGTTGCAGATGTTCAACCCCAAGATGGATGGGTGACGGTACGTACACTGTTGAAAAAAACGGGAGTGATGTTTCTACAATTCCATCGCGAAAGCCACTGAGTGAGGGGGTGGGGCATGAGTACCCAGGGAGTCTGGGGAGCGCGGCATGGCGTCGCTGGCGTCGGTGGCATAGTTGGAATGCGTTCCGATTCGAAGAGGGTTGAGATGAGTTGCTATTCGAGACAGGAGAAGGCGGGCGAGGCCGCATTAGAGGCTTGGGCATTGTTTTTTTCGACACGTACGCTGAGGCGGCCAATGCCCCCGGGGAACCGCGGAAGACATGCGGATGCGGGAGAGACGAGACGAGACATGACGCGGATATCTCGTTGCTAAGACGGCTCAGGCGATAGGTCATAACCAGAGTCCTGGGAAATGCCTGGGCTGGCCGGCGGCTTGTGATGTCCGCAGCCTAGGTAGCAAACAGTTTGCTTTTTGGGTATGCGCCGTCTCGTTTGATAACTCAGAAAGTCCGAATGGCCACAGACATGGCAACTGATGGTTGCGTTGCCTTTTGCACATGCGAGTGGACGCTGATTCTTGTTCGATTAGCCCGTCGAAACGAGATCCCAGGTTGAGACACATTTGCGGGCGCTTAAACACAAGGAAAGTCACCCCTTTCACTTGACCATTCCGCCTGATCCAAAACCAGGAAACGGGGAGATGGTGCAATGGCGCTAAAATGCGCTTCAGCAGAGCGCATGTGCCAGGGTCAGAAACTCCAAGACCAGCTGAGTCGTCACTCATGGCCTGCTTCTCCCTTTGGCGGTGTTTTTTTGGTGCCGCGATTCGAGTGAGCCGACGCCTGATTTCGCATTGACGGGAAGAAGTGTGGGGGTTTGGCTGCTTGTCCCTGAGGGTGAGTAAAGACCGTTGAGGCGCCTAAGCGAAGAGTACACTGATCGGATGTGGTACGTCGGTCCTGTTCTCGCGCTTGTTACTGATGTCCCGGTCGTCAAAGCAAACCGTCCCGCTCGCTCCCGATGGTGGAATCTTTTGCGGTACGCAGAGTGCACGCATGAAGCCATGGCGCCATCCGCCATCGGTTCCGGAGTCGAGATCCAGGGGCAGGTGGGAAAGCCGTCGCCGAGGGGCATCTGACGCCGATGGGCTCTGCCTTATCGTAACGCCGAAGGACATGTGGCTGGCTCCCGGTCGCCGTCCTCGGCCTAGCCAAATCCTGCACACCCTCTTCAGGCAATCCAATGGACAAGTTGGAGGTGTCGACGTTGTGTGAGCC